TTTTGAACTCTAGGATCTTCCTTAAGGGACACCCCCCCCCCCATTCTCGGGGTCAAAAATTGTTTTGATTCAATTCGAATCTACACTAATTCAAAAATGTCCCTACAAAATGTCAAGAGAAAATCTGAAGAACTCTTGTAGATATAACCGATTTATTGTGTCAGCATCAAGTGACGGCTAAAGGGCTTCTCAAACTTTAAATGCGTTTTTTTTTTCTTTTGTAAATGGCGGGCACGATAACTCAAAAACTAATGACCCAATCGATTCCAAACTTTTTCACGTTTCACTGTGAATGTATAGCTATCGTATGAAGTCTTCCTTATTTTTTAATTTGGTCTTTGGTTAAAAATGCGCGATTTTCCAAAAATATTTTTTCAAAGGTCCGCAATTTTGTTAATTTTAGAGCGAAGTCAATAATCCTAGTTCATACGAGAGCCAGACATGTACTCTTTCTAACACCGTTGGAATTTTCGGATTCCGATGTTCCAGTGGGGAGTTATCATACCCGCCATCAAAAATAAGGACTTTTCTTTAATTACAAGAAACAATAACAAAAATTTTTTGTAAATTATTTTTCTTCCTTTTTAAATCTTCAAATATATATGTGCAAAGTTACAAATCATAACAAGCATTGGTATTGATTGATACCAGCCCATTGAAAATCTTGAAAAATTAAAATCGGGAATGGTAGGGTTCCTTTAAGCCAGAAGAGTGAATCTAACTTTAAATGACAAATGTGCTTTTTTTTAAGGAAAAATAAAGCTTTTGCCCAAACTAGAGGATTTAGCCTAAGAGCAGACAAATGTAAATTAAAATTGTATTCAATTTAATTTACAATATCCATTTATAATTAGACGTGTATGTGTGTAAATTCGCAAGCACAGGTGTGCAAATGTGTCTAAATGTCATTATCCGAATGTGTAAATAATGATATTGTCACTTTGACCTGTTTATCTTACACAGCATCCATTACAGCCAATTTAATACACACACATGTTCCCTTGTATGGCAACAATGAATTGTATTAAATTGAATATTTAATTGAAGTGACAAATTAATTAAACATCATTAGATTGCATTAAATTATGAAAGTAATTTGAAATATTCTATATATTAAGTTGGGGAAAAATAAATAAATTATTTTTATATGAACTATAGGGGACTTTATTTAACATGCTTCGGAATGTCCGATTTGTCTGATATGCACCGTTTTGTTGTCATCTTTTTTTAACTTCATAATGCCTCTCTCATAGAAGCCCTACTCTCTATTTGCAACAAACTCTAGTAGTCGATTATCACAATCCTCCCTAGATACAAATTTTTTACCATTAAAAAAATTTAGCATTGCAAAAAAAAGATGATAATCGCTTGATGCCTAGTCCAGACTGAATGGCGGATGCATTAAAACTTCCCAGCCAATCTCCTGAAGATTCTGGTGGAACACGACACCTTTCGTGTTTGCGAATTCTTGCCGTTTCTGGTCAATTGCTATTTTCAAACGGTCCAGTTGTTGACTGTAGAGATCAGAATTTATAGTTTGGCCATATAGAAGCAACTCATAATAAATAATCCCCTTCCAGTCCCACCAAATGCATAGCAGAACCTTCCTGGCCGTTAGTCCTGGTTTGGCCACCGTTTGAGGTGCTTCACCGCTCTTTGACCCTAATCGTTTTCGCACAGGGTTATCGTATGTGATCCATTACTCATCTCCAGCCACCATCCGTTTTAAGATATGGGTCGATCTCATTCCGTTTGGCCAAGCAGATGGAAATTCGATCCATCCTATTTTTTTTTCTGTTAATTGGTGTGGCACCACCCAAACATCGAACTTCTTTTTGAATCCAGCTTTGTGTTTGTAGTTTAAAACAGTGTTATTGTCGATTTTTAGCTCCTGGACGATGTTACGAATGCCAACAACTTCGATCATTTCTCTGATTTTATCGCCATTTTCCACGAAAAAATAATGGATTTCTTTTTTTTTCCAATCTAATATAGGTTTAATTAACAACTCAAATAAAATTACCCCAAACAATTAGCCAACCATATTTTTGGCAAAATCACTGGTAGTGATAATGGAGATCCATCCTTCACATTTTTATAGTACTACTAGCATATGCCCGCAACTTAGCGAATGTAGGAAATATTTAAAAATGTGTTATTTTTTTTTTTTAATTTTCAGAGAAAACTGCATATGTCAGAAAAAACAATCCATACATTAATATCGACTATAAATTAAATTTGTGTGCCATTTAGTACCAAATTTTATGATTCGAGCTCTAAAGGTTCACCCAAATCCAAATTTTCCATTTAGCACACATTATTTCCATAAGTACCCTCCTCAACCATCTAGCCAAACTTCCTGCATACGCCGATCATATACTACAATGATTCCAAATTCAAATTTCAGGATTCCAACTCTATCGGTTCACCCACAATTAAAATTGTACCGAATTTAGTAGTAGAGTTTCCAAAACTTTCTACTTAACCCAAACCAAAACCCCCACAGTGATCCTAAATCTAATTATCAGGATTCGAACTCTATCGGTTCAAATTGTACCAACTTTAGTACACAGTAGTATGAATTTCCAAAACCTTTTACTTCCCCCAAACCTACACCACCACAGTGAACCTAAATATAAGTTTAAGGATTCCAACTCGATTGGTTCACCCACAATTCAAATTGTACCAAATTTAGTAAATAGTTGTACCAATTTCCAAAAAATACTACATACCCCAATCCTACCCCCCTAAATTTAACTTTCAGGATTTCAACTCTATCTGTTCACCCACAATCAATTTCCAAACCCTCCTACATACCCCAATCCTACACCTCCACAGGGATCCCAAAATTAAAATTTCAGGATTCCAACTCTATCGATTCACTCACAATTTAAATTGTACCAAATGTAGTACACTTAGTAAAATTTCTAAAACATCCTACATACCCCAACCCTACACCTCCACACTGATCCTAAATCAAAATTTCATGATTTCAACTTTATCGGTTCATCCACAATTTAAATTGTACCAAATTTAGTACACATTAGTACAAATTTCTAAAACTTCCTACATATTTCAATCTTACACCTCAACAGTGATCCTGACTCCAAATTTCATGATTCTAGCTCTATTGGTTCACCTAAAATTCAAATTGTACCAAATTTAGTACCATTTAGTACCCATAAGTATTATTTTATTAAACTGTATCCTGGCCCTAATCCTACATCCCTACAATGATCCTAACTCCAAACTTCATTGTTCCAGCTCTATCGGTTCACCCAAATCCAAATTGTACCAATTATAGTACGATTTAGTACTTTTTGTACACATAAGTAAAAATTTCCAAAACTACGTACATATCCCAATCCTACACTCCGACGGTTTTTCAGAATTTTCAGGATTCCAGCTCGATTTGTCTTCCAAATCAAATTTGTACCAATTATAGTACCATATAGTACTTTTCGTACACATGAGTACACGCTTTCCAAACTCTCCCCATATCGACCCTACTTTACATTCCAAATTTCAAGTTTTTAACTCACTCCATTCACATGCTACGAAATTGTACCAAATTTAGTACATTTTCGTACTTTTCGGATAGTTATAGTTCGAATTTCCAAAAACCCTTTAGTACATCTATCCTACATTCAATCAACGACCACCAACCCAAATTTCAGAGTTCTAGTTCCACCGGTTCGCCAAATACAAATGGTATCACATTTAGTACTTTTCGTAGCGTTGTAGTACAAATTTCCAAAAACCCAGCCTTATCTGTCCCCTTTGGACCAAGAGTGACACTCACCCAAAATTTCAAGATTCTATCTTCAGCCGTTTCGTCTGGGCGTTGATGAATCGTTAAATCAGTCAGGCAGTCGGTCGGTCAATCATTTTACTCTTTTATTAGTATAGATTAAATTTGTACCAAATATAGTACCATATAGTATTTTTCGTACACATGAGTAAGCGCATTCAAAACCATTTCCTTAAATGGACCCTACATCTCAGCCTTAATTCACACTCCAAACTTCAAGTGTTTAACGCTATCCGTTCACATGCTACAGAATTTTACCAAATTTAGTACATTTTCGTACTTTTCGGATAGTTATAGTGAATTTCCAAAAACCCTTTGGTACATCTATCCTACACTCCATCAACGACCACCAAACAAAATTTCAGAGTTCTAGCTCCACCGGTTCGCCAAATACAAATGGTATAACATTTAGTACTTTTCGTACAGTTCTAGTACCAAGGGTGTCGTACATTGATCCGGCTGGAAGGACCAATGTTTGAGCACAAATCAAATATTGATTGATACTAATTTATCAATTTATTTAATTTGTTCTTAGGTTTATACAATTCAAATTCAATTCAATATCTTAATTAATTAATACATACATTCTGCCAGCTATATTAATATAATATTTGGTAATATCAATATCTATGCTAGGTGAATGTACTCAAGTCCATATATATCAGCATTGCTGCAGTCAGTCAATTCATTGACTTCAGAAATTTGATACACTCACTCACGCTAGTGGCTTATAAATTTTTTGCTGCTATTACTGATTAACCTGCACTAACAGCAGGTATTCTCTATCATTATAAGTGAATGTTTGTTTAATTTCTACCCCACACTTTTATGGTAACTGATAGGGAACCAATTCCAACATTCAAATCGTATAAATTACATTGTCAAGCAATAAACCATTTAGTCGCAGCGTGTGTAACTAATAACCATAAATAAATGTAAAGCCCTATTTGTCTCGGTTTTATATACCTTTAATAGCAATCAAAATATAACACAGTATTAATCATAATAATACTATAATCACAAAATCGTATATAATTGGAGAACAAAAGAAAATACATGGTATGATCTTGAACTTATATCTAATCTACATTCACATGACATTGAACCCTATACAATTTTAGGACGTATGCACTTTTTTAACTTAATATCTAGCTTGTGGGAAGCTAACGTTCCGCCAGACATTCTATCTGTCAGCAATAGAGTCCTTGGCCTTCGTTCTTTTCCACATAGTAATTGCAGTATTGCTTTTGGGTCGGCGTCAGCCCCATGGTATCCACTTCTGATTTGAATTGTTCAAAGCCTCCAACGCCTGCCATATAACCGTTAAGTTTCGTAGCAACATAGGAGCTTTGTAAAAGTTTTGACTTTAAATTTAGCGTGTCACATAAATCACGATGACCTTGCAGGCGATATTTCTGGTGATAACTGCAAAAGAAAAAGTTATGCAATACAATCGCCTATTTCAAAAAATTAGTATCAAAACCTACTCTTCAGCAGGATAGAAATTAGTTTTAGCCCGAATTTCCGTAATTATAACCTCTGGAGCCCGTTTGATTTGTTCTTCCTGTTTCGATTGTTCAGCAATTGCCTTCTGCTCTTCGTCGTGGTATAAGATCAGTGACATATATTGTCTTTTAATGGGGGTGGTGGTTAGGCCGTATTCATGGTTGTTCCAGAATAAATCAAGGAGATCTTTGAAGGAAATGATGTTTGGATCGTAGTCAATTTCCAAAACTTCAGTATGGTCACCCCTAAATAATGATATCATGTTAGAATGCATTTTTTGAAAGGTTGTTAGTAAAGCAAGCAGAATAGGTAGAGAAAGCAACAGATCACAGTGGGAGTGGAAATGAGAAAGGGAGTAGGAAAAACGAAAACGAAGATTAATTACAATTTGTTATTTTACATAAACTTACAAATTACGGTACTTTGGGCCTTCTTTGGTGCCGCCGGCATAGCCTACAGTTGTGCGCAATACTCCTCTTGTGGCTCCATATAACGATTCTGCGCCCCAAAAACATCCCATGCCAAATGTGGCCGTTTTGATGAATGGCACACCAAGCGAATGCACCGGGCTGAGGTTTAACTCTTTTTGTTCATTGCGCACAATACTCTGGAATATTCAAAATAAACATCGATTAACTCAATTCTTGTTTTGTCCATAAAATTAAAACGAAAATAAATTACAAATAATTTTAAAGAACTTGTATTGCAGTTGTTAAATTCGTTGAAAATGCCATTCGAACGGTTAATAACGTAAATAACCATAGTCAACAACAGGATAAATTTCATATTGTCTGAGAGAATTGATAGCCTGTGACGAAAGCTCTTTAAATACTGAATTGCAGCGTCATTGCATTATTTTTTGATTATTGAGAAACCAGGTTCAATGCACGTATGCTTACCTACATACATACAATCAAACAAAAAAACACACAACAACAATGGCTGTCGAAGAGCCAGCCAAGCAAACTGGCCGAGAAACATGTGTTTGCATTTACACTGAGAACAATAACAATCTCTTATTACAGAGAGTGAATGCAGCGTAGAATCTCTTACTAGATCACACATGCATTTTATAAAGGCCAAGGTCAGTTTCGATACACGTTTCGTTGAAGTATTCCTGTTTTTTGTTACGATTTGATTTAGGGCCAAAAATATTCGAAACGAGAAATAATGGAATATTTTCAGTATATATATTCTATATTTGCATATAAATATTTATATTTACATTTGTAACCTTAAAATGTTTACCATCGAACCGAATAACATTTCTGACCATTTTCTAATTAGTTAATTTTGACACTTGGTGACAAACTTATGTAATCAAAGAACACACTCGAATAGAAGAGGAACAATACCCTACACAACTATGTTGTCGGGGTATTATAGGTTTGTGCAACCTGAAGAGGAGATGAAAACTTTATTTTTGTCTGAGGCCGTAAATATGGCCCAAACTTCGCGAATTTTTACATGGAGAAGAGAATCGGACAACTTTTGTGTGAAAAATTACAAAAATTTGTATTCTATAACTATATATTTACCCGAGAAGTTCATAAATTGATACCATTAGTAACCCTTTGAAAATTGCCACTATAACGGTGATGATCAGATAATTATTTTGGGATGATGTGGACCGGAAACAACGTGACTAATAATTATTCCCCACAGTTCTTTGGATTTTTACGAAGTTTGGCATAGCGTACTGAATTGAGACTATAATTATGCGTGCTAAGTTTCGTGAAAATCGGTTCAGATTTCAATATAGCTCCCATATACATTTTCGACCGATTTTATGTAAATGCTGCACTAAAGACATAAAATATTAGATTGGTGAAAATAAAGATAAAATCGTAGAAATGATCACAGTTGGAGCTAAAAATCGACCATAAAACTATTTTAAACCATTTGCACAAAGCTGGATTCAAAAAGAAACTCGATGTTTGAGTGCCACACCAATTAGCAGAAAAAAACGGAATGAGATAGACCCATTTCTTAAACGGATGGTGACTGGAGATGAGAAATGGATCACATACGATAATCCTGTGTGAAAACGATCGAATGACCAGGACTAACGGCCAGGAAGGATCTGCTATGAATTTCATGAGACTGGAAGAGGATTATTTATTATGAGTTGTTTTCATATGACCAAACGCTAAATTCTGATCTCCACTGTCAGCGACTGCACCGTTTGAAGATCGCAATTGACCAGAATTGGCCAACAGGAGAGGTATCGTGTTCCACCCGGACAACGCTATGGCCACACACACTTCTACAGTGACTCCCCAGAGACTTCGGGAGCTTGGTTGGGAAGTTTTAATGCATCCGCCATACAGTCCGATTATCATATTTTTCTTGTTGATTGCATTGCAAAATTTCTTTAATGATACAAATTTTGTATCTAGGGAGGATTGTGAGAACCGACAAATAGAGAGCAGGACTTCTATGAAAGAGGCATTATGAAGTTACCTTTAACATGCCAACAAATCATACAACAAAACGGTGCATATGTAGCCCAAATCGGAAGCACATTAAATAAATTCCGAAGCACATTAAATAAAGTTCTATTATAGTTCATATAAAAATATTGGATTTATTTTTTCCCAACCTAATATTTTCGTCAGATTTTATTTTAATGATGCATTAAGATCCTATATTTCTTTAGATTTGCACGAAATTTTGCATAGCGAACTGGATTGAGTCTAGAGTGGTGTGTGTTAAGTTTCGTGAAAATCGGTTCAGATTTAGACATAGTTCCCACACATATTTTCGTCCGATTTTGGGTAAATGCTGCACTTAAGACATACAATATTTCTCCGATAGCGACAGAACTTTGCTATCGGAGTCTAGAATGACGAGTATTGAGTGTTTTAAAATTGATTTAGATACATCTGATATATTTTCTGCTATTTGTATCTAAAAGTTGCATCAAATACTTATCAACTATCCAATTGAGCCTAGAATGATGCTATTTTCACAGAGAATCAGATTTAAATATAGCTATTATGTATATAAATAAACAAAGTTTGTCCGATTGTGAGATGAAAACTTGAACAACGCGCTGTGCTCCAGGATACCAAGTTTTATTCAAATCGGTTTAGATTTATTCGTATAACTGTCATAAATACTTTTTTTCGATTTCATACAAATAGTACACCTAAGAACCTAAGCCTGTTTGCTTTGAATGGATTTTAAGATATCGATTCCAACAATATATCCCTATTGATACATTTCAAGCTTCCAGCAGCATATGCTTTGTTATGCTTGGTTTAAATCGGTACATATAACGATCATAAGAGCCTTTATTGTATGTACCCAAAGTGGGCCAATAATGATCATTGTATCCAATGATTACCCAAAGAGTAAAATTACAGCCGATTTTGGTTAAAATACGTGGCAGAACTTCTCAAAATATATATCTTTGGGATGTACCGCTATAGTGGGGCAACCCTAAAAACTGTACTAATATTGATAATTTTAGCAGGAAGAGTTTCCACCCAGTGGGAAACAAAAATACCTAATTATAGCTGATTAGTTAAAAAAAATGAAGAAACGCCTTTAAAATACATTCCACCAAACGACAATATTCTTATTTCATCTGTTTTCATTAATTTCAAATTATAATTTAATTTCTATTTTAATCTAATATATTTTCCTTTGAGCCACTTTTTTCTAAGCCTAATACCTCACAACCTTATAACAGTTAAATAATAGTTCTATCAATGTTAATTATTATTCAACTAACATTTGATGAGAGAAACATGTACAATTTATTCTCTCACATCTCTTCATTTGCATATTCCATAATTTCCAACACTCTTTATGTTTAATGAGTGCAGCCACAAACACTGCTTGAGGTGTTTTGTTGTGGCCGTCGGCTGATCTCCATATGTCAGCACTTCGCCGCCGGCTACAGTTATTCCTGTCCGCACACGACAATGTTTGCTTGAAATCATTTACATTACGTATTAGTTGTGTGTGCAGGCTTCACTGTAGTTGTTATTTATGGAATTTATCGAATGAGTATGCAATAATTAATGGAAGTATGAAGAGGTTCATGTAAAATAAATTCTCAATACTCTGTCTTATTACATTTGGATTTGGTCAACAGCACAACAACTCGATAAGTATTGAAAACCCATAACCAGTCAATGTTGTCTTGCTTTGCTGTTAACATATATTGAATTGAATTCTTGCTCTTAAATAAAATAATTAAATATTTTCTATTACACTTATTTTTATATATTTTCAACTTTTTTACGGTAGTGCCTGTACCGTAAAAATTTGCCTTCAATACCAATACCAAGAAGTAACATTAATATAAGTTCAGAATTTCCATCTTCAATATTGCGAGCTTTAGTTTTTTTACAGGAGTGTAGTTACGTATGTTTTGCATTAAGGGAACCATTCTCGATTTTAATTTTAATGGTTCCCTTAATTTTTAATTTTAATTTAATTTACAAAATCTTATATATATATATATATATTTTTTTCTTTTTTTCCGTATTGAAACATCGGTATCCGAAAATTCCAACGGTGTTAGAAAGAGTACATGTCTGGTTGTCGGATTATTGACTTCGCTCAAAAGTTAACAAAATGGCGGACCTTTGAACACATATTTTTGACCACAAAGTTACTTAAAAAATAAGGAAGGTCTTCGATTGGATTTATCCTAGTTCATACAATAACTATACACTCACGGAGAAACGTCCCAAAATTTGGAACCGATTGAATTATTAGTTTTTTAGTTATCGTGGCCACCATTCGTAAAAACACTGCTTCGAAAAAAAATGCGTTTAAAGATTGAGAATCACTCTTGCTGTCACTTGATGCTAACGCAATAAATCGGCTATATTTTCAAGAGTTCTTGAGATTTTTACTTGAAAATTTGGGACATAATTGAATTACTGTCGATTTGAATTAAATAAAAAAAAAATTGACACCACCGAGTATTGAATATTAGTTGGGAATAGGGGTTGGGGTTAGTAAACTTTTCCCAATAGGCCTTCAGACAACAGGAAGTGGCAATTGATTGAGTAGTACTGCAATTTCATTTACTAATTTAGTGCGGAATAATATTGAATATGATATTTTTGTATATATTCTTACCACATCCTTAAGGATTGGTGCCTTGATGTCTTCTGGATTGATAGCGATCGACATTTTCACACACAAAATTCACTCAAAGAACTTTAATCTCTGTTCAGCTGTACGTTTTCAATTAAACTGTTGGACAAATTCCGTAATCACCGGCATTTATACTCGCCGTTTAGTGTTTCTTCGATTATAATGTAAGTGCTCTTAATCAACTTAAGCGTCGATTGAGAGAGAGAGGAAGACCGACCTCTAATCGAGCGGACAAGATTACGTTGTTGTAGCTAGAATAGGTCGTATCGAAGATTTGTTTTTCTTGTCCTAAAAGTTCGCCGTTCTGATTGTCAAACTGTCTGATAATTAATAATTTCACAATATATAATAGTTGTTAATAGGTAAAATTCGGATGAATTCTGTTCGGGAAAGAAGTGATACCCTTGATGACGAAAAAGTATTCTCTAGGTACAATAAGTGCGTAAACGGCCGACACTTTTATACTACCTTTTAATAATTCCTAATATCTTCAATACATCCTGATATACGTACATACATACATACGAGTCGAGTATACATGTCTGTCCGTTCATACAGTATAGTTTTTACAAATCTGATCATTGTCTAGTTTAATGATATTCCTCTAAAATGTAAATATTGATTAGGAGAATCAAATGCGCTACATATAATACACCTATCCATAATTGTCGTTATATATTTCTGTAGGATCTTCGTAGTTTTCGTTTCTCTCCAACTAATCTGTTTCCAAGCATTATGACAATGACACTGTCAAAATTAAATACTTTGAGGTTCGTTGAGAGAGAACAAAAGCTTTGTATCTCCAAGTCTTTTGTTGTGTTTCAAATATGTATGCATGCAGTTTGTTTGTGTCGATCAGCTTTAGACGAGAAAGAGATCATTTTGTGTGTGTGAGAGAGAAAGATGGAAAGTTGCCTAACCAGCATGTGCTGATACGGCTCTCCGCAATCAACAATTCGGACCGCTAGCTTGGTTTTGTTAATGTTTTGCAATTTGATTTGATTGTTTATAAACAATGCAAATTTAAAAGATTTTTGTCAAAAATAATTCTGTATGAAAATGACGTCAGTTTCAGGTGACATCTTGACCAATCGATTGGTGGACGTGCATAGAATCGGATTTCGTTTGAATTACAAAAATCGCTTTAGAATTGAGGGAGAGGCAGAAAATTCCGAAATTCTCAGAATCTAAAGTGGATATACCCTCCAATTTTTGTATACATCGAGAATAGGATATTCTCAAATGGTATGCCTAATTTCAACCGATTCCGAAAGGTATCTTCGGAGCTACAATTTTTTAAAAAACTTTTGTTATACGAAATTGTATGTAAACACTGATTGTTGTTGGTATGGCGAGCGAGCGAGTGGACCATGAATACGATAGATATGATCACCTGTGGACGCTACATATATATTTGTTGTGCACAGCAAATATTAAGTATTTCGTCTGGATTTTTTTTTTCAAAGTTGAATGAGTATATGTTTATACGAATGTGTGTTTTTATTGGTAGGTATTCAGATCAGTGCGAATCGTAACAAAGGTGGCAATGCCCTGAACGATGTTTTATTTCCTCTTTGATTATATTTTATGGGTGCTAATAGTAAAGCCTCATATAACAGTTCTATCCACGCTTACCAAAATATTTGTAATATATTAATGATTATAGAAAAATCTTGAAACATTTTTAAAAACGGTTTTTTAAATCCCGAATATGAACGTTAATCACTTTCTGAATCGTGAACAAAGTACCAGGTCGCATTTATGATCCGATTTGGATGAAATTTGGCATAGCGTACAGAATTAGGCCTAGAATGATGTACGTGAAGTTTCGTGGAAATCGGTCCAGATTTAGATATAGCTCCCATATATTTTTTCGTCCGATTTAATGTAAATGGTGTACCAAAGTGTCCATATATATCTTTCGATTTGCACGAAATTTAGCATAGCGTACTGAATTAAGTCTAGAATGATGTGTGTTAAGTTTCGTGTAAATCGGTTCAGATATAACTCCCATATATATTTTTCGTCCGATTTTATATAAATGGTGTACCAAAGCCTCTACTTTTCTTTCGATTTGCACGAAATTTGACATAGCGCACTGACTTAAGTCTAGAATGGTGTGTGTTAATTTTCCAGAAAATCGATTCAGATTTAGATATAGCTCCCATATATAATTTCGTCCGATTTAAGGTAAATGATGCGCCAATGTTCCCAAATATTCGATTTGCACGAAATTTGGCATAGCGTACTAAATTAAGTCTACAATGATGTGAATTAAGTCTAGAATGACGTGTGTTAAGTGTCGTGAAAATCAGTTCCGATTTTAATTATCCCCCATATATATTTTCGTCCGATTTAATGCAAATAGTGAAATAAAGTCCCTATATATCTTTCGATTTGCACGAAATTTGGTATAACGTACTGAGTTACGTCTGGAATGATGTGTGCTAAGTTTCGTGGAACACCAAAGTCCCTATATATCTTTCGATTTGCACGAAATTTCCCAAAAATCGTTTCAGATTTAGATATTGCTCCCATATATATTTTTTTCCGATTTAAGGTAAATGGTGCACCAAAGTACCTATATATCTTTCGATTTTCACGAAATTTTGCAAAACATACTGAATTAAGTCTAGAACGATGCGTATTAAATTTCATGAAAATCGGTTCAGATTTAGATATTGCTCCCATATATATTTTCGTCCGATTTAATTTAAATGGTGATCTAAAGTTCCTATATATCTTTCGATTTGCACGAAATTTGGCATAGCGTACTAAATTTAGTCTAGAATGATGTGTGCTAAGTTTCGTGGAAATCATTCATGTGATTGATATTACCGAATGGTGTGCATCAAGTGTGCTATAAATCGATTTACACAAATTTGTCTCATTGAAATGTGAGCATAGGTTGCAGAAAAGCATGTGTATGGATTGATGTTATTCGGTTCATTTATTCATAAATATCAAATCAATTGTTTTAATGAAATTTTAAAAGACAATTGAGGATTCCCATATGTAGAATATATTCGAAGTGGTGAAGGGGGTATCATATAGTCGGCCCAGTCCGACTTTACTACTTTCCTTACTGGTTATTAATACAAAAGGACGTAAGTACACTCCTGTTAAAAAACTAAAGCTCGCAATATGGAAGATATAAATTCTGAACTTATATTAATTCTACGATGTTTGGTATTGAAAATGTGACATATCGGTCAATTTTTTACGGTAGCCCCTGTACGTAAAGTTCGAAAACATAAAAAAGTATTTTTAATAGAAAATATTTAATTATTTTATTAAAGAAAAATAATAAAATGTATTAAACACTATTCAATACAGTTAACAGCAATGCAACAAAGCAAGACAACATTGACTGACTATGGGTTTTCAATACTTATCTAGTTGTTATGCTGTTGACGATCCAAATGTAATAAGACAGAATATAGAGATTTAAGCCAACCCTACAGTGAAGCCTGCACGCACAACCAATACATAATGTATTGTAGCATTGTCGTGTGCGAATAGGTATAACTGTAGCCGGCTGACGGCAACAACAAAACACCTTAAGCAAGACTTAAGCCGTGGTTGTGGCTGCACTCATTAAACATAAAGAGTGTTGGAAATTATGGAATATGCAAATGATGTGAGTGAATCACTAAACACGAATTCTCTTTTTGTCTCGTTTCGTCAGTCATTTTTGATGACTGTTAAGCTTCCACATACTTACTCTCAATTTAGTTCTGTTCAACTCTGGAGTAAATATATTTTACATGTTTCTCTCATCAAATGTTAGTTGAATAATTATTAGCATTGATAGAAATATTATTTAACTGTTATAATGCTGTAAGGTATTAGGCTTAAAAAACAGTGGCTCAAAGGAAAATATATTAGATTAAATACAAAAATAAATTCTAATTTGAAATTAATGAAACTAGTTTAAATAAGGATATTGTCAGTTGGTGGAATGACATTTTCGCCAACAGCCCCCATATAGTGGTACCACAAAATTCGGTATTTTAAAGTCTTTCTTCATTTTTTGTAGCTAATTAGCAATAATTAGGTGGAAAATCTCCTGCTGAAATTATCAATATTAGTCCACTTTTTAGGGTTGTCCCACTATAAAGGTACATCTCAAACGTCAATATTTTGAGAAGTTCTATTTTTATCAAATGACCTGTAATTTTACACCTTGGTTATTCATTGAGTACAATGATCATTATTGGCCCATGTTGCAGAGGTCGGACGGGAGCGACTATATTCACTCTCCACTTTGGGTGCATACAATAAAGGCTGATCAGATCGTTATATGTACCGATTTAAACCAAGCATAACAACTGGCATTTTAATATGCTGCTGAAAGCTTGGAATTTAATATGTGATCAATATAGATATATGAATCGATCTCTTAAATCCATTGAATTCAAATAAGCTTAACATCGTAGGTGTGCCATTTTGTACGAAGTCGAAGAATGAGAGTTATACGAATAAATCTAGATCGTTATACGAATAAAACTGCGTTCTGGTATCCTAGAGCATAGCGCGTTGTTCAAATTTTCATTTCACAAATGGTCAATCTTTGCTAATTTAGTGCACAATATACATAATAGCTATATTAAAACCTGATTCTCTGTGAACAGAGCATCATTCTAGGCTCAATTGGATACGTTGATAAGTATTTGGTGCAACTTTTATATACAAATGGCAGAAAATATATGAGACATATCTAAATCAGTTTAAAAAAACTCGTCATTCTAGACTCCATGAAGTACCCTGTTCAAAGTTCTATCGCTATCAGAGAAATATTTTTTGTGTCTTTAGTGCAGCATTTACATAAAATCGGTCGAAAAATTTTATGGGAGTTATATCGAAATCTGAACCCCGATTTTCACGAAACTTAACACACATCATTGTAGACTCAATCTAGTACGCTAATTCAAACTTCGAGCAAATCAAGAGAAATATAGGGATTTTAATGGGATTTTAATGCAATATTTAATGGAAAATCGGACGAAAATATGTGTGAAAGCTATGTATAAATCT